TGCAGTCACTTCCTGGGCCACCTTCTGATGTCATGTGGTCCAGCACATCCGAATGAGAAATGCTGCTGCGTGCAGGGAAATGCTGTGTCAGAAGCCCTTTTCTTGCTACATCTCATGCCATGTATGATGCTGTGTTATGCATCATGTATAATGTATGACATGAAATGTTATGCATACGCCCTGTTTCACAGAGAAAATCTGAAATTTTATCGACGATATCTCGTGGAGCTGTGTGGGGGATGATCTCATGTATCTAAATTGGGATTTCTTTTAAAGCCCCAGCAAGCTACCTGCGGTTCTTTAAGTGAAAGCAAGCTTATAGATATGGGAGAGTCTCCTGCTGGTGTCTTCTGAGGGCACCAAGCAGCTAAGGTACGAGAGGAAAGGTTTCCACACAGGCAGTTCACTCTGGCAGAAGGGAGGCATGGCTTCTCTTCCAGCTGTGTTGCACAGCTGGCTGTGCTGGGGTGTTTCAGATACCCCTAGCTGCTGAGGTAGAGATGAGTGGTAAAATGAGAAGACTTGGTGATGGTATGAAACAGTGGAAAGATACTAGGAGTAAAGATCAGGTAGAACAAATCAGAAAGTCCTTATAAGATCGACTGGGCAATAACATGGCAGGTGGAAGGGCAGAGGAGGGAACTAACCGGCAGAAGTGAGCTGGCTGCTATTGCCTGCGAGAGAGATCTCGGTGTCACAACATGGAGTTTTCATGGACTTGCACCATGCCAGAGCTATTTCTATGGCATCTTCTTTTCTTTGGGAGGAGAGAAAAAAAAATAAAAAAGAAGAGGAAGGTTTAGCATAGTTGTGATGAAATTTAGCAGGATTGTAGAAATGTACACTTATAAGCAATTTCTGTAGGTGTTTTTTTTTTTTCAAGTCTTGCAGCCTCTTAACATATTGAGAACATGTCCTTGTTCCTGATAGTGGACTAACAGTTGACTTAATCAAAACAGCCACATTGAACATTCATAGATTCAGTAAAGTAATAATTTCAGTAATCATTTACTTGGCAGCATATCTGTATCTTGTTGTTATGCAGAGATACATCTGGGAAAATTGACTCTAGGTTAATGATTGAACAGAAACACATAGTTAATAACTACTTTATAAGCAATCATTATTTTGTGTCTTTGAACTATTCCTGGGATAGTTAAACACTGCTGCATTTGTGTTAGTGCCAGCCAAATTTTGAAGTGTAAAATTGAAGCAGAATGCTTGTAGAATAAAAAAAACCCAAATGACATTTTGGGTTGTATATTTCAATATACATTTTATTGAAAAAGTGTTCATGTAAATAGTAAAACTGAAAAACGATTTACAGAAATGTAGTTAGTTTCAAGAAAATATTTGTTTTCATGGACAGGATTGAAGAATTAGAGATGATTCTCCTTAATTTCTGGCAGGGACATGAGTTAAGCCTCTAATGTTATAGAATGATGTGTTTTTATATTTACAGGAAGGGGCTGTTCAAAGGTCCTACAAATAAATGTCTTTCAGAAAAAAGTGGCGAGTCTCTTCAAACAGTTTTTGAGAGAAATGTCCAGGAAGCCATTGACAATTATACTTGGTATGCATTAATTTCTGAAATCGTTCTTCATTAATGGGCTCTGGGCTTAATTATTTGAGTATTGGTATTCATTGTCACTCCTAGTTATTCCTACGGATGACAATTATTAAGTTGGAGATATTACTTTTCAAATAGTTTTAATTTACTATTTGATCAGCTGAGATTATGATATCGGTCTTTTACATATTGGTTTAATTCATTTTTATAGTGCTAAGAAAATACTTTTTTCATTTTGTCTTTCTCTTAGTTTGCATATTATTTTTGTCTTTATTTGTTAATTAGAATACATTTCTGTGTATTTTCCTTCTGCTTCCGCTAGCTCAGTAATTCCTACCTGAATATAGAAATATGCAGATTCCACACAATGTAGCATATAAATTGACCCAAACTCTTGATTAGAGGGTTTCAACTTTGTTCCTTGCTTGCTTTGTGGATTTGTGCCCTTATAATTAATATGGTGTGTGTACAAAAGTGTGATACAGTGGAAAGAGTTGCCCTTAAGGTGATGAGTGCTACACATAGGTGTGCATGGCCATTGCCTCTGTTTACAAACGTACACTTGCTGTTCTTCACATTGGCCCAATAGTAGATCCTGAAAATTGTGTCCAATAGGAGGATGTATCACTATCTTCATACTTGCATTATTTTAAAAACATTTCTTTAGAAAATCACGTTAAAACATTTTAATTTGTTTTCTTTCCACAGTGAAACAGTTTTATCACCTTCCAGTGGTCATACAACACCTACAGCCTTGAAAAATTCTTGGTCTGGAATAAAGAGCTACACTAGTGGTTTGTCTACTGAAAGAAGTTCACTTTACTCTTGGAGGGATGATGTATGTTGCAGAAGCTGTTACAGTACACTGCATCTAAATATGGTAGAAAAAGTTAATTTTTTGCAGAAAATGGATGTGCAACATGTGTCCAGAAGAGTGAATCATCTCCATCCATGACAGCCTAATGATTAAGTATATTAACCAAATACTGAAAAAAAAAATGTGCAGTTGCTATCAATGCAGCCAATATGTAATCAAAAGCACAGTATGAAAAGAAAAAAAAAGCAACTTGGAGAAAAAACTTAGAGAAAGGAGTTTCACAAAAGAAGATCGCATTATAGCATTTAGGTTTCTGAGTCTGAGTGATAAAGTATCAGATTTCAAATGCAGGAATCATCCAAGTTAAACTTTTCTGAGGGTTGTGAATTGTGCAGCACATTTGTGAGTATGCGTAGGGATGTCCCAGTCTTGATAAGCAGTTAGCTCTTGCTTAAGTTCAGTTCTGTTTCATAGATGATGCAGATGTAATTTAAGTCCATTAAGCCTGGGTAAGTTACTTTGCCCTTCCTAGTCAGTGTTGGGCCCTCTGTGGCCTGGAATGGTTGGAGCACTCGGCTGGAAGTGAACAGACATGATTTGGTCCCTGATTATTATCACTTATTTTCAGTGTAATGAAATATCTGTTTTAAGTAGCAAATAATGTTTTGACAGTTACCAAAGCTGGGATCCCACAGCTGAGTGCTTTTGCCCACTGGATAAAGTCAGGTTCTCCTCTGGCACCTTTGCCTGTGGGCTCTCTCATTTTTGGTTGCACTGAGTTACAGCTTCCATGAAAAGGTGAAGGATGTTCCCAAACCACCAGGGAAAAGTGCGTCCTCGTTGCCATCTTAGTTATTTTAATCAGAAATGAAGAGTGCTGCTCAAAGAAGCAGGAGCTTTAGAGCCTTCAGCCTCGGAGATACAGAGTGTGTGTGTGTTTGTATCGGGTTTGGAGTAGGGAGGGGATAGTTTTAGTTGGCTGATCTTAGGCAGCCACCTGTTATCTTCAGAGGAAATGTAGTTCCTTTCAAGTGTGACATCTGAGGATCCTTTCCGAGATGCTCAGCCAAATCTGTCTAGAGCTACCCTGCTCTTTAAATAATATTTTTTTTACTATAAATATAAGTCGATATTTGCTAACAGCTATTAATTTTATATTATGTAGGAATTTGATAAGGCCAACACACAGAGAGTGCATCAGTTGTTTTGGGACATTGATGAAATGCTGTTTGAAGGAAAAGTGACCTCGCAAACGGTGAGCCTGCAAGCGGAATGCGCAGACTGGGTTGAACAATCCCTTCATCTAAGGTAAGAAACTCTGCTAATACTGGTTTTAAACAGCTATCTCTATAAGATCAGTTTGATTGGTATCTTAATGTGCATTGCTCTTAGTGTTAAGACTTTTCATTTGAATCTGGATCTCTGAGACTGACCTGTGCCTTTGTTACAGTGCTACTGATATTTGTTTTGATTAAAGCAAAGAGAAAATAATCTGTTTTCATAATGACTCTTTCTAATTAAACGATTCTTTGTAAAAAGAAACACTTCGCTTAAAAGCAAGTCTAGATCTGCATGTGACTAAGTAATCTTCTAAGTTAATAATTAACACTATTAAGAAGACTATTATCAGTAAGTTCATCGAGTTTTTAATATCTGTTAGATATTTTTACTAGTAACAGTGCTCTGCAAATTAAACTGAAATCAGCTAGCAAAATTTGCCACAATTTGTCAGGAACAGAGCAGATTTGTTACGTAAACCTGCAGCAAACTTCACTAGCAATAAGTCAAAAAAACACCTTTTTAGATAGTGTAAAAATTAGCAGAACATGAAGAAAATTGATTTTTTCTTGTGCTGTGTAATACATTCATGGTGTTTTTAGAAATGTTTTCACCGAAAATAATTTTTTAAGTGATCTCCTGTACTTCGGATTTTTTTTTAATTTAAATCTGATACTGGAAGGCTGAAACATGCCCAAGAAATCTGGGAGATCTGCATTACTTAAAGCATATGGTACGATTTTTATTTTTCATTAAAGAAGAAGGATTAAACCTTAAAATACTACTTGTGTTGAACAGTTACTTGAAAGAATAACTTCTGAAACTCCAGTGATAGTTATTTTTGTTACTCGTGCTTCCTTGGCGTGAGCCAGGAGCTCACTGGCTTTCCTTTCCTTTACTCAGTAGCTATGATATGTCTGAATAGTAGCTATGATAGCGTCTGAATATTTAGCTGAGTATGGGCAAGTAAATATTCTGGAAATCTGTCATCAATAAGAGAAAGATCGGGGCTGTGCAAAGAGAAGACCCTTTGCCTGGTTTATAAAAACAAAAGTGAACAGAGTTTTGCTTAGAGCTTCATGTGGCACTCGCTGTTCTGCAAAGAACATGTTCAGGGTATGTTCAGTAATGCTCTCAGGACAACGTGTTCAGGTATTTTAAAGAGTCTGAGAGGTGTTGCTTGAGATATAGCCATGACTGACAAATTCTTTTGAGAATCCTTTTGAGTTCTGATGAAAAACAGTTGAAGAAGCACTAGCTATTAATTATAAAAAATGTGATCAGAAATCATTTACAGAATAATTGTCTGCATTTAAATGCAGTTGCTCTTTGCTCTCCTGACCTCTGTGCATGCTGGTATTTTTATTTCCTGAACACAGTGTGCATTAATTTTAACTTTATATAAGCTTAACTTTGATTACCTAAATTCTAGTTAGTGTAAGGTATTGCACAAGGACTTGGCATCTCCAGGTGTGTGAGGCATGCTTGCACATTACCAGCTGTTCACAGGTATTTGTATTTTCCACATTAGTATGTAAATTTTCATTTACAATTCCCCACACACTTTTTTCTTTCTGGTTTTCCTCCAGAGTTCTGGGAAAGCAGCTCCTATTACCAAAGGATGAAGGCTTTCAGTATTTTCAGAGCAGCAGTGATAGCTCTGTGGCCACTAAGGTTTTACCTGGTCTCCGTGAATATACTGGTGATATCAAAGAGTATGTCAGCAATTTTTGCAGGTTTTCTGTTTTGATATGACTATAGTTTTGTGGGTTTTTTTTAAAATATACAGACTATAATTGAATTGCAGAAGTATCAGCAGTTTACTGTCATCTGTGTAAGACATGCTGTCTGTACAGAGGTGATAAATTTTTCCAGTTATTTCAAACAAATCTCCTGTTTTAAATTTCTGACAAATATTTTGATTAATATTCACTTACATGGCGTTGCTTGCTAAAAATGAAAAGTGCTTAGCAAAAAAAAAAAATCACTTTGTTCTATCTTCCCTCTTCAGAGATTTATAAAGTGTTATTTATTAAATCATTTCTACATAATTAAATATGCAGTTGCTTCTTTCTTTGAATATTTAATTCTCATTTTGTTTTATTATTTGTTTTCCCAGGCTCTGTATTTCAGGCTCTAAATTGGTCCCAGCAGCATCTCCTGTTCATAATGCAGTAGATTCCAGTTCCACTAGGGCCTCTGACCCTTCCAGATACTTATTCCTGGAAGAAGAAATCTATGACGTGGATGGAAAAATAGAAGAGTATCTTGCCTTTGACAATAAAGAGCTGTAAACAAGTTATATTTATTTTTGAATCATGAATCATTATTTATTATTGAGCCCGGTCAGGATTCTGTGCTGTGAAATATGGGCTCCTCTGTTGCTGTGTTAAGCAGCATGGTGGCTAGAGCACTAGGAAAACTAGGCTAGTCACTAGGAAAACTACCTATATTGTCCTTCTAATGGTTCCAACTCCCGTCTCCTATGGAAGAGGAGTGTGTCTGCACCACAAAGCTGCAGACTATTTAAAAGGGTTTTTTTGTACATAGAAATTCAATAAAATGCATAGGCAGTGAAACGAGAGCTCTTTTTTCCCTTGCTTGTTCCCAAGCTTGTTTCTTGTTTCCTTCTCAGGATTAAATTCTGGGATGTCACATTCTCCCTAGCTCCCTAACGGGCTTTATGATGCCTAATGTTCTAAAATAAAGAAGTCATGGTGGATTAGCTCACGAGACCACGTCTCAGCTATAACTGAGGAGTTGGTAGTCCAGTTTGAGGAAGACAGAGGAGGGAAAGCGTGGTGGTAGAAACCGTCCTTGAGATGGGCCTTTGAGACCATCCTCGTAATTTCAGGAAGGAAAATATGATGACATTAATTAAAAAAAAAAAAAAGAAGAAGAAGAAGAAGGAAATGCAGGTTAAAATGTTCTTCTGCAGATCCCGAGCCTACACATTAGTGGCAAGACTTTGCTCTTCTTGCCAGGCTGCAGGAGTCTTCCAGAGTTAGTTCTCTGATCAATGAGCATTGCAGATGTTTCCAGGACACAGGACCTGACGTAAAAGAAATGTTCTGTATGACAGTCGTCCTTCCATATGCATGGAACAGTGGTTCCATTTTGTTATGGTCAAAAGCACAAAATTTTGACTCAAATGATGAATTGCCATGTATAAAGTTATTTTTTGTTGTTTTTTGTTTTGTTTTGTTTTTGAATCGCAAATTTTAGCTATAAAACCCTGCCTTTTTTCTGGCTTGTAAGGGAAAGAAAAACATATCAAGACATTTACTCATTAGGTTCTATTCCCATATCTACTCAGTAAATCTGAATTTTTTATTTTTTTAATCTACATTTGACTTTTTTTCTTCTGTATATGTGTTTCATAATTGCTCAGTGTATTAGAAGATTAAAAAAAAACCTGTCAAAAAGTGGTGACACATTTGAATTTCCTTCACTTAATTAGTGATGATGAGAGTTTGGAACAAAAGAAAATGCATCTTGCTGAGAAGAGCAAACGTGGCATTCCCCCTGTGTCTCCTCATGCCTGTATCAAAGATGCAGTAACTTCTGAAGTATTTGATCATATCTGGAGCAATGTGATTGAAATATTGGAGGAGCTGATTAAAAAAAACTGGGAAACTAATATCACAGGTATTTTATGTTTTTAGAAATGTGGTAGTAATCAAATCTAAGTTGGGAAAGTATTTTTTTCTTAAAGTTTGGGTAACCTGTGTTTTTTAGGAAATTCTTGTTTGTAATACAGCGTTTTAAGATACATAATGCCCTGTCAGAGCTACCTGTCACCCTTGCCTCAAACTTCACTTGTCTTATGGATTTGGCAGGGGGATGGAGAGGGAGGAGGAGAGGATTAGAGATATAAAGAAAAAAACATTGACCAAAAGAGCTCCATTGCAAGAAAGTCTTAGTCCAGAGTGAAAATTAGTGCTGATAGCAAGGAATGGATGACAACATGGTTTGTATCTGAGTTCTAGGACTCAAAGTCTTCTGGACTTATTGCTTGAGCTTTCTTAATGCAAAGAATCCTTAGGTAGTCAAAGCACTAGTGAGAGTGGACGGCCTTTCTGATGTTGCAAGGATCTTAATGTGGGCCTAAGAAATGGCAGTACATACAAATATTGATAGTTTTAGCAGAAATGTTTTCAGAAAGACGTCATTTATGGTAGATTTTTAAATTTCACGGAAAGTTAGAACTATTCAAAACTGTGATGTTTAATATCATTTTCATCATAGTAAATACTGACTAGTAAAAGTATAAGAATGCCTCTAACTCCCTGCATTGTTTTGTTGTTGTGCAGAAAGTAACAAACAGGCGGAAAAACTGAAAGCTGTTACAGCTAAAGTGCCCCGTTTGCCAGCTGCTTGTGTGACAGCGGGTGCGGGGAGCGTCCCTCTGCCCAGGAGCTCTGAAGCACGAGGCGGATCTTACGCTCCCCATTTTGTTTCATCACAGGTAAAAATATCTTTCCACCAAGCAACAGTCTCTTATCGACATAAGAGAGTTAGTATCCACTAACCTTGGAGAGAGTCCTGACTGAACCAAGAAAAAGGTCTTTTTAAAACCTGATTGTATACTTAGTCATTTCATTTAAAGGAGGGATTTTTTTTTTCAAATATACAAGTACAAATATCTTCTAACTATCTCTTTTTGAAGTCTTCCTTCAAAAATAAGGCTTGAATCTGAAAAGTTAAAACCTATTTTGTTGCTTTCCCTAGGTTCACCGTTTCTCCAGCAAATTTTGTAGTGATTTGAATGGGGTTATGACAATTCAAGCAAAACCACTCCAACAGAGGCATGCGACCACAGTAGAAAAAATACGGTAAATGTCTGTCTGGAGATTTTGAAAATGCAACATAATTTATGTTATGTAAAAGACGTGTGATTTTAAAAAAGGTAGTAGGAATGCAGACATGTCCTTTGTGCACATCACTGATGTCACTAAATGTTTAGATCTGTACAGGTTGCTCTGTGATATTGTGTTAAGAAGTTCTTTCACATTTTTTTTCCTCTCTCTCCCTATACCTTCCTCCCTCTTAATGTCCTAGGAATGAGCAAGAAAAACTACATAGTAGTGGCTGCAATGTGACAAACTTAGTGCGCACTAAACTGGGGAGAATTGCTGATAAGAGGCTTCTGTCATCCTCTCGGGTACAGCTGGCATCTTCTAGGAAGCTACCAAGCCATTGTAGGTTACCTTCTCTCACTTCTGACCAACCCTCCTCAAAAGCTCCTAACATGTACAATGACGAAACCCTTAGGGGGACTAAATTGTGAGTTTTTTCATTTTACCTTTTGCTTTCCTCAGAACTTTACTGAATTTATACCAGTGAAGGATTTTGCAAAATACTTGAACTAATCTAGGATTTGTCACTGATTATAGAATTCAGACAGAAAAATATAGCAGGCAGAATGATGTCCACTAGGGACTGGCATTTACGTTATTTTTTTGTTGCTTCATTAAATGCTGTTGCTTTCTGCAGCTGATCTCTATTCAGAAGGGTACTGGTTATGCATGCCCTATTATTTAGAATAATAAGACTTTTAATAAGACTTTTCCCGAAAGAAGATCCCTTAAAATTTTGTAGGGTTGCCAGCTTGGATCATCTGTCTTCAGCTCATGCACAGACACTTCAGAACAAGTTACCACCCATAAACTCAGAAGCTGTTCAACAGGACCTTTCAGTACCTCCATTGCAACGGAGCTCTGTAAGTTCTGTTCATTTTCACACTGGTGAAGAGCCTCGAGCTGCCCGCGTGTTGTGTCCGTGTTCTCTTCTTTGTATGCCAGTTGAAAAGTTCTTATTTTGAGTGCGTTTGCAATAACTGCATTCTCTCAGTGATCTTTTTTATTTCTTTCAGCATCAACTCTGCTATGTGTATAGCAGAGTTTCAAGTGCAGTACCTGGCAGTACCGTGCAACAGCCACTCAGGGAACGAACTGTTACCATCGAGCAATTCTCTAGGCCAACACAACACAGACATTCAGGGTATGTTACATTGTAAGCAAAGACATGGAAAAGTGAAGAAGCTTCTATTCTTGCCCATTTGGGGTCTCTAAAAGGTCTTGCAGCAGTTTTCCCCAGGTCTCCCCTAATTCCTGATTTACAGAATTCCTATTTCCTTTAGAGAACAGAAGGTTAAAAAGCTTTGGGAGGATGTGGAGTCCTGAAAAGCAGCATATGAAGAAGAGGTTTCTTCAAGCTGAATGCACCAAACATTTTCTTTGAGGCAACCAGTGCATGGGAGTGCATTGAGTGTAGTATTGCATGGAGCTTTGCAGCTTGTTAGGGCTCACTCTGCTTGACTGTATAATAAAAATTGTAATAAAACCACTTTGCATAAGAGTACCATACTCTAACTAGTAATACTTTCTTTTTTACAGGCAGACATACGTCCAAAAAGACCCCGGAATCCCACAGATTTTGTTAACTGCACATGGATGGGTCGAGGATTTTTAACAGGTACTAACCCATACTACAGCCAAGAAATGATGAGGTCAGGGAGAGCCATCTCTGGGTGCAACAATCGTTGTGCTTGGCAGGATGTTTTTACTCTTGTTTTGATTTTTTTTATCCCTTTATAGTCTGAAATAAGCCAAACCGTTGACTGTTAGGAGTCATGTAAAGTATCTTGTGGTTGTTATGAAGAAAGGTTATTGGAAGGAAAAGGAGGAGCTTTTTCATTAAGAATTATCATCATTCTTAAAATGACAGCAAGGCTATATGATGTGCAAGCTGGATATTTTGTTGCTTTTAGAGTAGCAACACAATTACCTTGTTGTTCCATAACTTTTTGGTTTAGTGACACAAAATGCAACTTTCCTTTATTTTAATCACCATTTAAATTCACCAAATCAATAAAATTCTAATGTGAGGAGAAAATAATATTGAAATTTTAGCGTTTCGAATATATATAGAATCCTTCTGAATAAAACATATCAAGACCAATTTGCAACTCAGGCAGCATGCATGCTTTTTGGTTTCTCCCACAATTAACAAAAATAATGTTTTATGTTTTCTAGGCTCACAGCATTATTACAAATCCTTTCAGAGAAATCCTCCAACCTCAAGGAAGAGATTTCAGGTTGCTTCTTAACTCGGCTTAGAAAGAAACAGAAAATCCCTGCACTGATGGAGTGCTGAAGTACCTAATTTACCAGCTAACATCTTCTGTGGTAGAGAACATGTTCAGTATGTTAGTTTCTGCTGAGCCTTGTGATCCTCAGAATTCCAGTACTGCCTTTTTTGAGAGCTATCTAAGCAGAGATTAGATAAAAAAATAGAGTGAAATGAAATAAATGGTTGAGCTTCAGGTCTTTGCTCTCTTTGCAAAGCCAGGATGCGGCTCCTCTGCTTGTTTCTCAGACATTCCTCTTTTCTTTCCTCTGAGAAATGTTATTCCCCCTGAAGAAGCAAATAATTTATGTTCAGGTTGTAACATCCTGTTCTCACTCTTATGTTTCCTCAGTGTTAAAGATGTTCTGACTCTATCCAAACATCAATCGCATATAAAAATCTACTTTTTTTTTTTTTTTGAACAGGAGTTTGCTGCATCTCCTCTTTGACTCCTGTTTTAACTTTCTCAATTTTTTAGGAAGTTGTTCTGTTTGTCAGTTACTGTGAAAATGCTGGAATAAACTTTTCTTTCAGGAAGCAACGATTTTGCTGTCAGGCCAGACTTGTTTGTAGATCCTGAACAGCTGATCCTGCATCCTGACATGTCAGTAAGACAGTTCCAATTTTTTGAGATTTCTTATAAAACATTACCTGTTAGTGTACAAATCAATCATGTTTCTTTGTAGCTGACCCTTCAAAGGTAACATGTAAAAAGATTAATTGGTGAAAGTGTTATTAATACTACCTTGTGTGTAGCTGCAAATGGGAGGAGATCAAGGAGGTTCTGATCGTGGCCCAAGGGGTCACAACCAAGATCATGCCCAGTGTGTTAACACTGTGCACACAGTTGTTCTCCCACCCATCAAAGAGGGTGCAGCTTCAATAGATGTGGTGGAAAGAACTATTGAAGAGGAAAAAGAGGAGGAGAAAAACTTAATTATTTGCCCATATGTTTCTGTTAAGAGAATCAGTTTCTTCCAGGGAGCAACTAATGCCGGTTCACTTCTGATTCAAGGACTAGTAATACAAGATAAAGTATTTGTAATACATATTTGGTATCTATGCTGTTATCAGATTTCTGGTTTATGTCAATGGGTGTCAAACACTGCATTCTTTTGAGTAAACGGAAGTTTTCAAAAATACTTTCCTGGTTTAGTGTTTTCCTCCTTTGGCTACACTAAGCTTATTTTTTAGTGGTGTTACGGTAGTGGCTGAGAAAACAGTTTTAAGATGCAGGTCTGCTTCATACATTTTAAAGACTATAAATTCGCTAAGAAATCAGATTCAAAGATGCTATATGAGTTCAAAATTCACAATTAAGGCTTCTTCAAATGCATGTCCAAAACAGTTTTTGCTGTCATGGTCTTCCCTCATGTACAATGGAGATTTAAACAAAACTGCCAAAAAAAAAAAAAGAAAAAGAAAAAGAAAAAAGAAACATAAGTTGTATTTGTTATCCTGTGGCACTGGCTTGCAATCCAGACCTTAGGTTGCGGAACAGAACCAAAGATGAACGTGTGCCTCTGCAACGGTAAAACAGGAGCTCCCTTACTGGAGAGCTCACCCAGCACTTGATGAAAGCCAGAGTTGCTGATGTCTGTAGAGATACAGTGGTCAAATAGACAAATACTGAGTGAAAAAAAGTGCAGAGCAGCAAGCACCTGCTTCTGCAACCTATAAAAATAAAAACAAACAAACAAAAGCCTAGTCTTACTATGGCCATAATAATCAATGTGATGGAGTGATGGACACAGTCCTGTGCTTGCCTTTTTTTTCCTCTTGGTTGCTGGACTGCCCAGTCTGCCTTTCCCTGGTAGCCACACCATGGAGTATTTACACAGGCTGCCCATGCCCAGGAATAGTGTCGATGTGAACGTATTTGGGAATCTGGATCTCTAGGGCCATGACAGAACAGCTGCAGCGATGAACTGGGTGCTGTACTTACTGGGACATCATCCTGAAGCCCAGAGGAAGGTTCAAGAGAATTGGATGAGGTATTTGGTACATTTCCCTTCTTCCTTTACTGGGGTCAAGCAAGAGTACGTGGTCCTTTGTAAGCCTAGAACTGGAAGGGGAGGTGGGAATGTGCCATGTAGCTGCTCTCAGGCTTGCAATAGGTGGAGGTGGTTGGGATGAGCTCTGGGAGGAGACATCTGTGAGCAAGTATTGAGAAGGCAGCAGCCACAGCTGGATCCTTGCTGTTGTGTTGACTCTTTCCTCTTGTCTTTCCCTTTCCCCTTTCCCACAGCAGCAGGGTGTGGCAGAGATGAGAGTGCTGACGTGCTCATGACTACTAAGCACTCATAAACTCTAAGCATTAAATCAACCTGACAATGGATGAGACTAAAAGGAAAGTCAATAAGGTGAGAGGCTGTAACTGGAGCTGCTAGGAGTGCTCGTAGACATAAATGAGGTCTCCTCTTGCTGCTTGAGCAGAGCCTGCTCACAGAGACAGGGAATCGTGAGTGGTGGTGCCCACTCTCCTGCCAGATGTGGATGTGCTGAATGGACAGTTCCTCCCCATCACACAGAGCACCACTACACTAAAGGGTAGTTTCTTACCCTGAAATCTGAGTGTTACAGTATTTTCATACAACCTCTACAGTAATACATACTCACGTGCTTCAGAGGTGAATAGTAAAGGCAAGTCTCCTGAGCTAGGAAAAGGAGTCATTGCTGTCTGCAAAAGGTGAATATCAGGTCCTGAAAACAAAAAAACAAAAACAAAAAAATAAATTCAATGGCTCTTTGGGACATACCAAATACGAAACTGTCTATTTTCTCGTGCTTGACCCCATAACTCAGTTTGTTCCCTTTGTTATATGTTGCATTTCAAGGAAAGTTTTTCTCTTTTTGAAGCCAATTTCTTCACAGCTGCCATCAGCATCACCTTTCCTTGCTTTGGGTTTTCAAGTTGTACACCTGTTCTGCAATCACCTGGGACAATTACTGCATTCGACACAAGCCCTACGGCCTACAGCAATTTTCTCAAGTTCTACAGATGTTGTGCAATATGTAAATTCTGCTTAAGCCCCAAACAGCATTCCATTAAAATGCATGCTAGGAAGATTTTGTTTCCATGCTTCTTATGAACACACTAATTAACCTCATTTTCCAGTCCACGTGCCTTGTGATTGTGCCTAGCAAGCAGTATTACCATGTCCTTTCTCACCTCCTCAGATGTGACCCCCAGATACCCAGCTCAAATTTATGGTAAAACGGATAGCTATTTTCTAGTGTGTATGGAGAGCCCTGCATTTGGGAGACGTCATAGATTTCTTTGTGGTCATCCAGCCTCCCTTGAAAAACCATGAGTTTTAGCTGGGTCTCTCAGAAATAACAGAAATATTGCTGCAATGAATGATGCCTTAGTCACCATTACGATTACAGCGGTATGTCTTTGATTCAGGAGCATGTGGTTTGGTGCAGGGTACTGCTTTTTATACGAGTGCTGTGCTTGGTGGGGTACTAGGATTTTGTGATCACCAAGGGCATTGCTAGATGATTTGGTGACTGTGCTGTCTTCATTGCTGATCTGGTTTGGGGTTTTTTGTTCAGTTCATTCAGCAGTTGGTGCCATGTGCCCGGCTGCTCTCTTGTGCACGGAGGCATCTTTGCAAGCTGCCTTAAATCTTAGTCACAAAAAGGAGGCATAGATTTGCCCAGTGGCTTTGGGACTCCCATGAAAAGGATGGCAAATGTCCTTCCTCAAGGGGGATGTTCCGATGTTCTCTTGTTGGTGTTGGAATGTCTTCCATGTAGTTCAGAGGACACTTCTTCACTAGGTTAAAAGTTAAACTTCTTTGGTAATTAGAAGTATTTCTGTTCTGGTATCAGATGAGGAATGCAAAGAACTTTAATCAATGGTTCTTAGCAGTGTTTGTTTGTTTGTTTCCTGGTTTTCACAATTTGTTCCTGAAGCTGCTCACTACTGGCACCACCTTTTTGGATGATGTGCTGCATTGATCCTTTTCTTGCTTTTTCTTCAGCACCTGTAGCCTTCTATATAAACAAAAAAGCAGCTCCTTGCTTTAATCCTATTGTAAATCTGAGTGTTGAGAAAGAGGAAGGATCTTGCTAGGAAACAGAATTTGTAAATGAATCACGGTGCTTGCCAAGTTAGCAACTGACTACTCCTTGAACTTACAGTGAATGTTGTGGGTTTTGCAAGGGATAGCAAAAATGTTTAATATCCCCTAGTTGGGGTAAAGGATCAATGAAAGGTTTGCACCATAGCTCCCAGAATATGCTCCACTCGTGAGTGTCCTCCACTCATCTTCCTGTCATTTTGGGTCCATCTTCTCCATGCTTTTATTTGGGTCTTTTTTCTTCTTCTGGTCATAATGATTTAATTGATTTCTTGTCTAAGATGAGAACCTGGAGTCTAGGGCCTAGCAGAAACCTGTGTTTGCTTTGCTTAGGAGCTGTGGTTTGAAATAGCTACGGAGGACACGAGTCTTCTGAGGAACACGGACATGGTTGCACTTCACAAAGTGAGAGGCAGAGTAAAAGCAGATTTCCTCTGCTAAAACCTTTGCTAAAACAAAGCCAGGAAGTGCCTATGAAAACGCCCACCTGAGCAAATTGCCCTGCCAACAATAAAAGGCCCCATGTGCTAATCACACCATATAATCTGCTAGAAAATTGCTGGGAGACGTGTTGCAGAACATGACAGAGAGATTGCAGAACATCTTCCTTTGAAACGTGTAGTGCAGGTTCAAAATGAGGGCAAGTCTAGATGACACAGGCCTCAGGTACCCTTTCTTCCTTCTGAGTATTTCTTCTACATCTCTTCAGTGCATCTGCTGCCCTTCGTTTGCAGCAGCATCACCACTGGCAGCTGCTGGCAGGATTCTGCAGTGTCTTTCCTGATGCATTTTCTCCCACTCGTGGATTTTCAGCCTCTCCTTGCTATTTCACTGGTTTTCAATTTTTCTGTCTGTTGACACTTCGATACTTTTCTGCAGGAAGAAAGAGACAGAACAATGTAAAATCCCCTGGCATGTTGGTCTCGGTGTTAAAAGGACAGTAAGTGGCCCTCTTGCCACACTTGCTTCTTTTTTGGGATGTAATTTGAATGAAAGAGGGGAGTGGTGACAATGCGGCTTACCTTCCTATGTGCTCGCAGAACAGGGTATGCATCTGCTCCCATCGTGAACCATTAAAAACAACAGCAATAGTATCAAAGTTCATTTCTAGCTGTTTACTGTGTGGAAAAGTGCAATAGGCAGCATTGATGATGAAATTACAGGAGCAAAGTGCCCAAAATTATTTATCTCTGCTGCCACTAGACATATGTGCTTCCTAAGCTTCTGATATCCTGAACTTTCTCTGTGTTTCTTCTCTTAGTTGCTTGATGTTGTTTGCTGGTCCACTGAAAATGATAGTGCTTAGAAGTCAATTTTGGTTCAAAATTGAGCATGGAAATAAGAAAGCTTTTCTGATATGCTCAGGCGTCAGGAATAGAGGACCAAGTTTCACAGATCTTCAGCAAAGCAGCCAGGCTGTGGGTGCTCGCACCCTTGAAGTCCTCGCAGTCCCCTGCCGTGGAGAATCCTGCTCCGGGCTGACCCCTCGCGTGTGAGCGATGCCGTCGTCTTGCCAGCTTCTGCCGCGAGGTTTCCGAGCACGGGGCTGCGAGGAAGCCGCGCGCAGCAGCCGCGGGCAGCGAGAGCAGACTCGGGAGGCCTGCAAGGGCACCGCGCCGCTTTTCCTGAGCTCCCTGGAGGCTACGGGCTGCCCTGGCCTGCCCGAGCTTCAGCCCTCGGAGGGGAGTCCTGCAGGAAGAGCCCAAGGCCCTTCCTGTGTCCGGGCTCCTGCCGGGCCCGTGTGCCCGCGGCCGGCCTGGCGCTGCGGGCCCTGTGCTCGGCACCGTTAGCCTGCGGCTTGGGCAGCCAGGAGTGGGACCAGCGGTGGCTCTCGGAGCTGAGGAGCAGCCCCGAGCTGTGCTGTGCTCTTCATCTCCAGTCTGTGCCTGGAGATGACTCAGCACAGGCGCGTCGTCTTCAGCATTTGAAACTCTTCAGGTATCATGAGTTGAAGGTGCTGGGGCTGTTCTGGGCTGTGGAGTGATGTGCCACTGGAAGCAAACAGAGGGAGAAGGGCTTTATTGTTTCTTCCCTCTCGGTAGCAGTTTGTGGGTTTTGTTTCGTTTTGCTTCCTTATACGGTTTTACACGTGATTTGTGAAGTCCTCTCTGATTTTAGTCATATGAGAGAGCAAGGAAGTGACACTATTCCTGGCACTTTGTTTGCTGTGTCCTCATGATGTGCTCCTAGGGCTGACAGAGCAGCTCCTGTCAGCTGCTCTCATTTTCTTTATCTGCCCTCGTGTTTGTAATTTCTTTATTCTCCTGGCATAGGGCGGCGTGTGCCAGCTCCTCCTCCCGCTCCCGTGGCCAGATGCCTGTACTTTGGCCGGCGCAGGGAGGCGGCCGGCAGTGCCCCTGGCCGCAGGAGGCCGAGGACAGCCAGCCCGGTGGGACCACGGCGAGGAGGTGATGGAGGCGCTGCCCCGCGGCGCCGGCCTCGCGGCCCTGCTCCTGAGCGCCGCGGCGGCGCGCGCCCTGCGCGCCCTCCTGGAGCACTGCTGGCACTGGTGGGTGATGAAGCCCATCCCGGGCGTGAGCCCCTGCTTCCCGCTGCTGGGCAACGCTCTGCTCCTCGAGCGCAACGGGGAAGGTAAGGGCGGCCCTGCGGCGCGAGGCCGCTTGAGGTCCCCTAGGGGCTGCGGATGAAATACGGAGGGAAACGGGATGGGACGTGGGGAAGAGGAGCGGAGTGAAGAGCGGAGCTCTGTAAGTGCGGGGTGGTTGTCACAGATGAGGTGGAGATCCATCTGAAGGTGGATTGCAGGTTTCTAATGGGGCTTTGACTCACCTTTAATTCTTAATGATACAGAACATGAATGTTGCAAAACTTTTTGTTTGGTTTGGGGTTTTTTTTGGCTGCTTTCACGGGAAGTGATATTTCACAACACAGAGGCCTGAATCCTCAGCGTGGCCATTGCCCGTGATCCAAGCCAGGCTTTTAATTTGGAAGAAAGCAAGCTTTTTTAAGCAATAATCTTCCCCCAAGTGAGCATGCACGAGGGACTTTGCATGCTGAACTGTTAAGCAGTTTGCAGAACCAGCTGAGTCTTAGTCTTCTGCATAAGGTACAAAATAAATTCCTGAGTCTTTTCAGTATTTACGTCCAAGCAAATATTTCTGTGTCAATGGTGACAAATGATACTTTCCTTTTGCCAGGTGCTCCAGAGGGAATAAGCATGGCAAACATTCCTTTTCTTTTAAGCACTCTGCTTTGAACAGGAGCACATTTCTTTCTGGAGGAGTCTGGGATAGGCGGCAGGTTCCCCTGCCTGCGCTGGGGGAAACAGCAGCCACTTTGGAGCGTGTTTGATGCCTGTGCGCGCCAGCCTGCGCACCCTGAGCACACGCACGTTTCCATCGCGCTGATCCTTCAGGAATGAAGGACTGCTCCTGAACTTCCAGGCAAAGCCAGAGGAGAGGATTACTGGGTCACGGAGTGGGATGAGGACAAGAACGACACAAGTGTGGGCACCCACCCGCGCTGCCACGCGCTAGCCCAGGTCTCTGCCTGTTCCAGCAGGCACCTCCAGGCAGCCTTGTTCCCTCCAGATCCAACCCCGCTCCTTCCCAGCTACAGCTGTTTGGAGAAGCAAGGGCAACCAACTTCCCCCGAGGCTGGCTTGCAGAAGCATAGCAGGGCCACAGAATGTGCTTATGAGGCTGACTCTGGGCTGCTCTTTTCTGAAGGAACATTCTTTCTGTCCCCAGAAAGCAGTGATGGAGACTTTCATATTCTGTCCAATATCTAATTCCCTTGATTAGCAGTCACATAGCTTCCAAGCTTTACTTAAGCCCAGGACCTTCCTCCTTCGTATTTACTTCTGTAAATACGAATGAAGATTGTGGTCCAGCTTTTTCATCAAAAAAATGTAAAAGTTAAGAATTTTTTTTTCTGTGGGGGGGATTGTATAGTAAGAAGTAAAATGTTGTCCACCTGATGGTTTTATTTATCGATATCTATATACAAACTCCTGTGTCTCCTACCCAGAAAACTTGTGAACTTACATCATGGTCATGTTAGAAAAAAAAAGAAAGAAAAGAGCAAAATAAATAGATACTATAAAGCATTTTGGACAAGGTGTCATTAGAACTTGTGCTTAAGACTAGACGATGCACTGCCTTGTCTGGGTATCCATTAGGAAACAAGCGCTGAGTATGTTTCCCCAGGGTTTAGGGGTCTTTGAATTGCCAGTTGTACAGAGGCTTTGGAAGGAGTCATTTACCCTTTAACCTGGTTTCTCAAGGATGAGGATTTAATCTCTGAATATCCTGATAGCAGACACCACCTCTGGAACTGCAGAATGAACCTGCTTGTCTCCTAGGATGAGATAACTGGATCTGTGAACGAGGGAGAGCAATGGATGCCGTGTACTTTGATACCGCAAGGTCTTTTACAATTACCTCCCGGGATTTCCTTATAGCCAAGCCAGCAAGATACGGATAAGCGGATGATGCAGAGGGCACAGAGCTGGCTGCACTGTTGTACTCAGCCCGTGTGGAGTCCAGCTTGCAGCCGGAGCGCTGCTGGGATGTGCGGGATCTCGCAGGAGCTGCTCCTGTGCCAGGGTTATTTAACATGGTTATTACTGAGGGACAGAGCAGGCTCTCTGCACACAGGGCCGAGCGGAGGTGAGCGGCTGGTACCCGAGGGAAGGCAGGGTGTTATTCAGAGGGACGTCGCCAAAGATGTTTCTCCAGTTTGTTAAGAAACTCGGAGTTCAACACAAGCAAGTGCCAGGTCCTGCCCCTGGGCTGGACAGGACATGGTGGTGCCCTGGAAAGCAGATTTACAGAACAGGGTCTGGGCTCCTGTGGGCACCAGACTGAAACGGGGATAACAGTTTATCCTGATTCCAGCAGGAAATTGGGCTGGATGAGCCTTGCAGGTTCCTTCTGATCTAAATGACTCATTGAGCCTTCGTGTCCTTAGAGGTGAGGACATCCAAACTGCCAGATCCACACAGGCCTCGTGCTGGGTCATTTCTCCTTCAGTAAGTTTTCCAAGAGGGCAAGAGTGGAGCCTAATCCTGGAAGCGTCTGCCATCGGGGCCTCTGCTGCAAGTGCAGATTGTCACTGATGGCTGGGGCTGCCAAGGGGTGACAGCGTGTGCGTGGCTGCCACTCAGGTGAACAGTGATGCCAGGGCAAGGGCTCCAGAGGTTTCCCTCAGGGGAGCAGCTATCCCAGGGCGGCCGTTTCGAGGGATCCAGCTGTGCACGGCCCTGCCATCACAGTGTACTGCGGTGCTTCCATGTGCGTCACAGACCCGAAGGAGGTCTGGGGTAAGAAAAGGCTCGATGTCCTCTTTGGATAAGCAAGTGTCTTAATGCAGCATTTTGGCTAGTGTCAGCTAAGGGTAAATGTGAACACACCCTTAATGACCTTGATTTAATTCAAGCTATTAGAAAGTAGTGCAGAGGTCGTCCCTTGCTGCAGTGCTCTGACACCTACAACAAGCTGGAATGCACACATAAACAAGTAATGCTGCAATACAGCTAATAAATGAGTGCAAAAAAGGCAGCTTGGTTTTAGTAGCAAGGTAACACTACAGCAAACATCGTTTTAGGGCATATGAGAAAAAACAGATCAAGCAGGAATTCTTCTCTGTTCAACAAGTGCTTTTATCTGTTTTAATTTGTTTTCACATTCCAGGTTTTTTTAAACAAGTGCAACAGTATTCTGAAGAATTCAGGAAATTACCGCTATTAAAACTTTGGGTAGGACCGTTACCCCTACTGGTCCTGTATGACCCTGACAGTGTGGAGGTGAGTGTGTTTGCTGCTTCTCTACCTCTCCGATTGCACTGTCGCACAAAAGCAGTGCCCAGTCTGCTAGAGATGCCATATTTTATGTTAAAAAAAGGGAACAGGGGCCTGCAAGGATGTTGAAATGACACTGGGCGTTATCCTATGACAAGTTGGTAAAGAAAGGATGAAAGCGTGAAAGAGAAACCCAGTCCCGGAAAAAATCAGTGCAAAAGACAGGGTGAGCAAATGAGTGCAGCAAATCAGTATGTTTGATAGAAAGAAGCACGTCCTTCAGCTGTTTTTTAACCTGTACACAAAGTTTTGCTCCCCAGAGCTGACCTGACTAGTTGATAGCAGGGCAGACTGAACCACTGAAATGGAGATAAAAGGTTGTGAGATGGCTGTGGTGACAGTGTGAGTGACTGTCTTTTACATAAGAACTCAACTGGCCTTCCTTTATCCCCCCAGGGTGTGGGGCATTTCAGTGCCGGGGCGCGGAGGAATCATGAAGCCACATCAGCTGAATTAAGCTCTCTCTGTCTTTTTACCCTCCCTTTCATTTCTGACAGGTCATTCTGAGCAGTTCGAGGCACATAGAAAAATCCTACATGTACAGATTCCTACAGCCATGGTTGGGCACTGGACTGCTGACGAGGTACAGTAAAATGCAGGTGCAGAGCTGGCTTTAAAACTAGCAGGGTGTTTCATAGGAAGAGTGCTTGGCGGCAGGGCTCTTGAGTGCAGTCCCTGGGTAGAGACACGAAGGTGGCAGATGTAGAAGTCTTATTTCTTGTGGTGATCTTGATAGCTATTTAGTACCTCGTATCTGATAACAAGATTTTGGTCTGATTTCTTAGCAGCTTTTCAGTTGGGAGCGGGAGGGAGGGATTAGTGCCCTTCCTTGTCTGATGGGTAGTGAAAGGTTTTCTTCCTCCTTAGTGAAGGGCTAGTGTTGTAAGAGTCAGCTGTGACCCCAGGCTGTGGGAAGTCCTGTTTCGTTTGCCCCCCCTAAGCATGAAGAGTGGTCATGGTTAGCGAAGGGCAGACGGCTGAGGTCCCTTGTGGCCAAAAAGGCACGTGCTCCCCGTTTCCATTCTGTCCTAAAGGGAGTGTTGTCTCCAGGAAGGCTTCCAGAGGTTGTGGCTTTCTTGTGCTCACAAAAACGTCAGCTATTCCAGCTTCACTGAGCAGTGAGCTGAGATGCCTGGGGAAGAAGCATCCCTGGCAGATGGAGGCAGCTGCAGGTGGAGATTTGCAGGGCAGAGGGGAGGAGCTGGTGCTTTGATGCAGGCTGCTACTGTTGTCCGATGGACAGACACCATCAGCAGCAGCGTGGGGTGTTGGCTGTGCAGTGGTGGGAGTCTTGTCTCCAAGCTGATGTTTTAACACTTCCCTCTGAATTATGCAGCACTGGAGACAAGTGGCGGACACGGCGGAAGATGATAACTCCCACGTTCCACTTTGCAATCTTAAATGACTTCCTGGAAGTTATGAATGAACAAGGGAGTATTTTGGTGGAGAAACTTGAGAAGCACGTTGACAAGGAGCCGTTTGATGTCTTCATTGATGTCACTCTGTGTGCTCTCGATATAATCTGTGGTAAGTCCTCTTTGCTGTCGCGGAGGGGCTGCGAATGCTGAAGCTCATGAGCACAACTGCTGCTGTGAGACAGCCTCCTGTGAGGGGACAGCTGAAGAGGAAGGCCCTTGCTTCCCACGTGGATTTGCTTCCGCGCTCCCTTTTCCCTCACCCTGCCAGCTGCTCCACGCTTCCTCGCCAGGAGGGTGAGCTGAGCTGCGTGGCAGGGCAGGGGCAGGTGTCCAAGCGAGGCTGCGCTGAGGAGCTGCGGTCCCGCGTGTGCAAATGGAAAGCAATGGCCTGGAAAGGGATGAAAGCGTTTGCCTGCGGAAGGGGGTTTGGAGGCGCTGAGGAGAGGCTCTGAGCACTGTGGGGACTCTCCCTGTCACTGCCCACTCATGCACCCGTGGCCACTTCCTCTTTGCAGAAACTGCGATGGGCAGGAATGTGGGTGCTCAGGAGAACAAGGACTCGGAATATGTCCGTGCTCTTTACAGGTAAATGGAGACCTTCCTGGGCTGCTTTGGGTTTGATCCTGCCTATGTCAGAAGTACATTTACTGACTGGGGAAGTGTTGATGGGCACAGGAGGAGGTAGAAAGCCAAAACAGCCAGAAAACCTGCTGCAGTTCTTGAGACTCCTTCTGGGATAGGCATATGCAAAAGGAATCTGAGGCTGTGAAGAGGGTTCGGCTGCTCTTCGCTGGTTACGTCAGTTAATGTTACATCACTATATCGGTTACACCAGTTACTGTAACCACACATTAACTATTCAATTAATTACTGCCTTTGGAGGTAAAAAGTACTGCAGGTACTACTGGAGGTAGAAAGTGTTGCAGGTCAGCAAGACCGCCAGAGTTGGGAGGGTGCTAATTTAGGCAGCTAAATGTTAAAGCTTAAGTCACTGCTCTTCTGCAGTGGTATTTACCCTGTTCAGACTGTACGCAGCTGGCCGGGGGTGAGGAAAAGCCACGGTCTGTACTGGTGCTACAGTGCTGCTTGAAGCCACTGTAGTGCTACACTGTGGATGGTAGGCAGCCCCTTTGGGCGTCTGACTCCTTCCCTTTTTTGCGGCATGTTGGGACAGATCTGTTACATGAAAAGGGGTAGGGTTAGAGGTTTGATTCCTGCACATGGCGCTGCAGGACTTCCCGAGGGATGTCTGAGGTCACAGCACAGGTGCTTCGGAGAGCCGGCATCTTTGCAGGACGTGGTCAGTGCTCTGGATGTGGAGAGGAGCTGAATAACTGGAAAGGCCTGTTTCAAGAGGATTCTTCCTAAATGAGAGTTGTATGATCTCCTCCTCAAAGATCACTGCATTAAAGAAGTAGTTCATTGCGATGCTGAAATGCTGGGACAAGTACAGAAATTTGGAGATGGTCTAAAAACAAGAAGCAAAGACAAACAGCTTTCCCATCATGTCAATGTGCTTAAACCCACAAGTTATGTTTAGTTCTGGTATATAGAAATATATATATATAGTGGATTTAAGTTTTTTCAAGGAATATTACTTAATGTAATTACTGTGCTCCCCTAGGATGAGTGACCTAATCCAGCAGCGACAGACGAGCCCTTGGCTTTGGCCTGATTGGTTATATATGCTGTTCAAAGAAGGAAGAGAGCACAAGAGGAATCTCAAGATCCTTCACAATTTTACAGATACAGTATTAGCCTCTTTCTTTTCATGGGGGAGTCTAGCTGATAGAGAACCTCTACACTACGAGAGATTTTCCCTAGGGGCAATGAGGTTCCCCAATGTGCGTGAATCCTCATCCACGTAAATGCACTTGCCTTATGTCTGTTAGTTTGCGGCAATAGTAATTAGCTAGTTGAAGGGCTCAGGTCTGCTGTTCTGAGAAGGCTGGAGATGTTAGAAGCTCTCAACCTGTCTCTGGATCTTTAGCCTGGGAAGAAGACACTCAACTATTTCTCCGATATGCTGGTTTTTAATTTTAATTTTAATTTTTTTTATTGTTGAAATAAACCTCAGTAGGGATGTACACTGACTGTGTGCATGTGCTCCATGTCTCCCATGGCTAACATAATGCTCTGAATCTCAGGTCATTGCAGAAAAAGCTGCAGAACTTGAAAACCCCAAGCAAGGGAAATGGGATGCTGATGGCAACTGTGAAGGAAGTGGCCCCCAAAAGAGGAAAGCTTTCCTGGATATGCTCCTGAGTGCAACAGATGAAGAAGGGAACAAACTGAACTACAGAGACATTCGGGAGGAAGTGGATACTTTCATGTTTGAGGTACTCATGGGAGCTGTTGTGGGTTTTTGTTTTGTTTTCTGAAGCTGAGACTCACCATTTACCCACTGTGCCTACTACTTATCTCCAGAGGTTGCTTTTAGAAACAAGTTGTTTTAGCCCTGGAAGCACAAGAGTTGATGACGGTATGAAATTACTGTGACGTGCAGATTTGTCAAAGCAGGGAATGACACAATGTTGTTTCAGAAAGGCAGTAGCTTTAGATCCAGAAATGTACACCCTGGTGCTGGGAAACACACGAGCAGTCACTGCCTGGGTGAGCAGGCTTTCTCATGCAAGCAGGTGAGCAAAAAGAGCTTAATGGCCAGTGTGGGCCATGAACTCCCAGCTCCTGCCCTAAAGCTCTTTTGTACTAAAGCTCCTTTGTACTAAACTTAATGGTTTCTGTGTTTCCCCTTGCATTTTTATTGCCTCTCCTCATATTTTGTACCTTGTCAAGTTGGCTTAGGGTTTTTCTTTGCTCTCCTGGTCCGTCATGATTCTGCATTCCTCTGCTGCTCTGTAGGGAGATCTGGAAGGTCTCGGCATCCTGAACTTCATTAGGAAAGTGCACCCTTTTAGTACCAAAATCCTGTGCTAGAAAACTTTTCCCTTTTCCTGGTTCCTCATTTGTCTCTTTTCCTTTTTCCTCTTTGTTTCCCTTACCTTCCAAGTGTTTGTACAGCGCCGAGGGCTGCATTTTTCACAGGAAACAAAGAACTCTTCCCTTCTATGCTCCCCATACTGTCTCTCATGCAACTGTTCTCGATAGTTCTGTGAGGATTGCAGCTCGTGTCTTGTATCCACTGCTGACAGCCCAGGCCTTATGCTGGAGATGACACAGGAACCAGGCAGATGAATGTAGGTCCATGTTGCTTGCAGGGGAGTTCGAGCTCAGCCTTTGCAAGAGCTGTGGGGAGAGAGTGCACAGAGAGAGAAAAACTCTGACTCGGAGAGCAGCAGGTGTCAGTCACGGGGGTTCCAAGAGAGGAGCAGCCGGAGAGGGTCCTCATGTGGGACAGAGCGCGAAGGAAGGGCTGCGCCAGCTCCCCCAGCGGAAATGGGAAGCTTCCCGGAGGCAGAGGAGAGGGAAGCAGGATGTTTGCTGGTTTGATTTGAGCACTTTTTTGGGATCATTGGTCATGTTATATCTTAATAATCTATGTGATGGATAGAGTTCTGTGGGCTTGACTTTTTCTTTTGGGTGTCAGACTACTGAGCGTGCCTTTCCCTAATACCTCCATGCCAGAGTATTTACACAGGCTGCCTGTGCCCAGGAGTAGTGTTGACGTGAACATATTTGTGATTCTGGACTTCTAGGGCCACGATACAACGGCAACAGGAATGAACAGGGCGCTGTACTTACTGGGACATCATCCTGAAGTCCAGAGGAAGGTTCACAGAGAACTGGACGAGGTGTTTGGTACGTTTCCCTTCCTTCTTTACCGGGCTCGAGAACGTCTGGTCTTTGTGGGGGGAGCAATGGTATTTGAGGGGAGCACGTGGTGTTGACAAGAGATCCCAGAAGGGGCCTGGAGTTATTGAAAAAGGGATGTGTTGCTCTTATTGCCCCGTTCGTTTGCTTTTTGGACAGGTAAGAGCGAGCGTCCGGTCACGATGGACGATCTGAAGAAGCTCCGGTACCTGGAGTCCGTGGTGAAGGAAGCCCTTCGGCTCTTCCCGCCGGTTCCGCTCTTTGCCCGCAGCTTGCGGGAGGACTGTTATATCAGTGAGTAGGAGCATCCCGAGCGCCTGTGTTTGCCGCTGGGAAATGCAGTCGTTCTGAGCAGCTGTGTGTCGAGGTTGGATCCTTGCTGTTGTGTTGACTCTTTTCTCTTGTCTTTCCCTTTCCCCCCCTCAGAAGGCTACCAGGTACCGAAAGGCACCAACGTAGTTGTTGTAACGTACGCGCTGCACAGACACCCGGAGATCTTCCCCGACCCTGAGGAATTCAGGCCCGAGCGGTTCTTCCCCGAGAGCTGCAAGGGGAGGCACCCGTACGTGTACGTGCCCTTCTCGGCTGGACCCAGGAACTGCATCGGTGCGTAGCTGCCCGGCGGCCCCGGGCCCGCCGCGGTGCTGCCCGTGCCGCGCCAGGACAGCAGCAGAGTGGGGCAGAGATGAGGGTGCTGATGTGCTTGACGGTCCTCTCTGAAAACCTGCGTACCGTCTCCCCGTGCAGCTGTGTGCCTGAGCTGCAAACACCTGTTTTCTCCCAGGGGGTTCTTTCTTTCAAGGGTCCAGTGTACACTGAACTGTTGCCTTCAGCTGTGTGCCTGAGCTGCAAACACCTTCTGTTTTCTCCCAGCGGGTTCTTTCTTTCAAGGGTCCAGTGCACATTAAACTGTTGCCTCCTTCCCACTGCCTGTGCAGCCTGGCAGCAGGTTCGAGGGATGCTGTGTCAGGACAGCTTCTGGGATTTCTGGTGCTTGGTGCCAGCAGGAGAGGCCACTCCTGAATTCATTTTGCTCTGGAAATGTATCGTGTGTCTGATGATGATGTCAGCTGGCTGTCCCAAACATGCAGCCTGCAGCAGAAGCATTTTTCCCCTTTTTTATTCATGCCTCAGCTGCTCTCCTGTTCCCACTGGTCCCACAGCTTGTGCTCTTCAGTGAATGGGCATGCTAGCTCTTCAGGTCTCAGAGACACCTTACACTTTCGTCAGTGCTAAAAATTAGAGGGATCATTGTTTACATTATAGAATATACAAAAGGATGAATATATGAATTTCCCCTGTGCTGATCTTAAGTGTAAAAGGTGAATATTCAGGAATTGTCATACATTTTACAAGAATACATACTGTGTACACATGTGTATAGCCATCCACCTGCACACGTTATAAAGAGGAGCCCGCAGAGGACAGACAGCACTGCCTTTTTCTGCCCCTTTCCCACAGTTGGCACGAGGTGAACTTCCTGGGCTGTGACATTCTTCCCGTTTTGTTTACCTCTTGTTGAAGTTGCAAAGCTGACATTAACACCTCTTTTGCTGCCCTGTAATGTGTAGGTCAGCGCTTTGCCCAAATGGAGGAGAAAGCCCTCCTGGCCCTCATCCTGCGGCGCTTCTGGGTGGAATGCTGTCAAAAGCCAGAAGAGCTTGGACTGACCGGGGAACTCATCCTTCGGCCGAACAACGGCATCTGGATCCAGCTGAAGAGGAGACCAAATTTCCAATCCTAATTCAAGGAAATTCCATGTTATTTTCCCCAAAACTGTTTAGGTTGCAGAATGTTTTTAAATTGCATGTTTTGTTGGCAGCCCAGTTAGTGCAGCTTGTGATCTTTTGGAATGATTGTTTCATCAAAGATGATGTTGTGACAGTCCTGAAGTGCTGTAGTCTTCTAATGAATGAGAACTTCACGTTCATCTTTAAAGTGCAAGGTCTTGTTTACTCAGATGAATTGCAACAATGCGAACGAAATGAAATGATGGGGTGAGGAATTAAGCAGATTTTACTGTGTTAGTCAAAGCTTTGGAACAATGAATGAACTGCTCTTACTTTTTAGGATCCTGCAGGCAATGCGGAGAGATTCTTGTTAGTTGCTGTTAAAGAGGAGAAGAGGCCTCTGAAATTTTCTGTTTCTGATTCAGAAACAAAACATGCTCAGCAGCTCTCTAAGAAGTTAGTGACGACAGAACTTTCTCATTTCTTCAGCATGAGAACAGCACGTGTGTTATGCAGCTGAAACATTTGTTAACAGTTTTGTTCACTACTTCAACAGCCTCAGTAGGAGATGTTTGTTCCTGTGTTGTCAATCAGAATGCATTTAACCCATGGGAACAACTGTCGGATCTGCAGGGTCTTGTTTGTTTGTTTGTTTTCTCCTCCTTTCTTCCCCTCAAACAGCAGCATGTCTCCACCAAGGCTGCTGTATTCCACTGCACCATCAAGGCAAGGAGACGTGCAATTCACTCACTCATTCAAGAGAATAAAGGTGTCATTATACTGCACCATCAAGGCAAGGAGACGTGCGATTCACTCATTCAATAGAATAAAGGTGTCATAACCCCAATTTGGAGTCACAGTTAGATGTCTCCCTGCGACATTCACAGATATTGAATAATTTCTTCCTTCTTCCCACATTCTACTTTATGAAGCTTGTATTTCGATGGAGGAGAAGGCAACCACACAACAGACAACAGCAGATAATTGTTAAAGATCATATTTTCCTGAATGCTCTTCTCGTTATATTGGCACTATAATCACCTTGATTTAACCTGTGGAAACACGTGAGAACGTGGCCTTAATCACTAAGCCTCAAGCCAGGTCTCGTGAATTTGAAGGCTCCTTGCTGTAAGTAGGTGACACTTGGGCGTTGGGATGAGCAGGCAGAAGTGAGAGCTGCCACAGCTCATACTGCAGTGCTCCACCTCTAACGATGAACGCGTTACCACGTAAGAAAGACACAACCTGTGCTTACTGCCTCTTTGATTTCATACATTCTTTTGTCTTTCGTGCACTTCTAATAGCACAAGGCGGCTTAATGCATAACATAACACTGTACTTCATAAAATATCAGAATAGAAAGAAAATATTTCCTATGTTTTCCAAGTAAATTTCTTTTTCACTTCGTTTTCAAAGGCAATTTTTATTTTTTGGTAATGGTGAGACGTTCGTTTCACAGGGTTGACTGTAAAAATACTTTTCTTTATAAAAATATAACTTTCTGAGACTACTTTCTTATGCTAATACATATTAAAAAATGACTCATCTTTTGTTTTCCCAAGAGATTCTTTGGTAAAGAATTAGTTAAAACTTCTGGATCCTAGGTGAGCCTTTGCAGGAGCAAAACTTGCATTCAGAATATATTTTCTCAGGCATTCAGTACCTGAGAATTGGAATGGCACCTCAAGTATTTTGTTGAGCCCTGACTTTAAAGTCAGGATTTTTAATACAAATAAAATCTAATATCAGTTTCTTCTTTTCTCAGATCAATTTTTGTACAGTTTTTTAAATGAACAAAACTGTAGCATCCATTTCCATTTGGAAATAATTTTTGTGACACCTGTCTAAAAGTTATGCTTGTGCTTTATTTTTGTGGCATGCCTCTAATGCACAGGGACATCAGCTAAACTGTAACTTCTTTATAACCTCTAACGGGTATGACAAAAATAATGTAAAGATGCAATGCGCTCTTGCCAAGTTTCCTGATAAAGGGATAATAAAATACTCTGTATTGAAAAGTACATGTATAAAGTAACTGTTTGTGGTCATTTTCTGATGACTAGTTGTTTCCTGAAGACAACGGGTGAATTTTAAACCTACTGCATATTGGTTTATATAGGGTGGTCCCAGTGATGCCAGCAATAGGTTGTGTTGTCTCTGCTTCTGAAATATGACTCTGCATTACCATAAAAACCGGGCGGGCTGGTCTCATTTTTAGAGAGAAAAAAGAGCATTTTTTCCTTATGGTGTCAGAAAAGGCAAAACTTTCAACTGGAATGACCCGGAGGAGTGTGCAAGCTGCTCAGGAGCACGGGCTTTACGGTTGTTGTGAAGAACATTGTTAGGGCCCCTCGGCAGCGCTTCCTCGGCGCTGCTGCACCAACGTGGTCCCGGGGCTGCCTCGGAGGCCCGCGAGGTTTCCAGCCGTCTGGACACAAACTGCTTCCCGGGGCTCCCGAAGGCCACGTTTTGGACACGCGCAGGAGGTTGATATCCCCCTGCCTTGCTCAGTTTCACCTTCATGCACCGCAAGACGAACAGGCTCGTAGCAAGGCTGGTACCTTGCTGCTAGAGACCCTCCTGGCGTGTGTCACTGAGCACATCTCCCTCTTCCAGCGAGTAAAAGACTCGACCTTTGGGGAATCCTTCATCCTCTTCCCTTGGTGAAAGCAGCACTGGTGCCATCCTGTGGCAAACCTGTGAATACAGCAGTACCTCCCTCCACATCATGTCCTATCCTCTCAGTTTGTAGGAATTAGAAAATAAACCAACTCACTTTTCTTTTTAAACAAAGTTTTACATTCTTCATTTAAAGTTTTAGGTTCTTCTGAAGGCGGGAGTTCTCAGCTAAGTCCCATATTTTCCTGGGTAAATGGAATGCCAGGAATGGTAAAGGTGAGAAAAAAAACAGATGATTGCTGCTCATTTGCATTTATTTCATTATGAAGCCCTTTACTTGGGTCTGAATCGTTCACACTAATGCCACCAATTACTTATGGATTTACTCTTCATGTTTATGTTTTTTATGTAGATTCTGTGCTAACAATGGAGAGTCTGACTTACCTGAAGCAGGGATTAGACTTTTACTTAAAAAAATAACGTATCAAGAGACTGATGCTCAGCTGGTGGAATTCATGTCTATTGATTTCTCTGCAAGGCTGGTGATTTACACTCTGAAAACATGGCCCAAGGTCAGTAACAATATTGACAAAGTGAGCACAATTTCAAAGTAAATATTAAAGACAAGCTAGTATTGCGGACACAGTAACATGTAACACAAATTGTAGACTATTTTGGTTTTTTAAATCTTCTTCGGTAGAGCACAAACCTTATCCATTCATCCAGACCTACTGTATGCTCAGGTACGTACTTGTTATTGCAGCTGATACTCAGTAGAGGCTTTCATAGCAACAAGGCAGTGTGTCCTGATCTCTTCAGGGATTCTGTTGAGTGGTTAGCTTGCAGTATCATGGGGAAAAAGGAAATGATACAAGATTTAGGTAACACATACCAGAAACGGTGAGTGTGAATCAAATGTCTTCTGTGTTGATAGTAGTGTCTAGTTAACTTCCAGGACAGAGTCGTGGTTAATAACATCTTAATGGAATGTTGTTTCCAGTTTAATCAAGAATAAATATTCTGCTGCAAAACAAGAGAGAGAGTATGCAAGTCTTATTATATCTTTGCAACCCTAAGTAAACTCCCAAACTTCTGATGATATTGCATATTACTCTATTTAAGCCATAATTGCTTATCACAGTGGTAATCTGTAACTCATATACCATTTCGAATTAATGGTAGACAGCATACTGTAAATCACTTAAGAAATACGCATTGTGGTAATTTGTAAAAATAATTATGCACCGTTTATTAAGTATATCCTAAAGAATATTTGTATTTTTTTCTTTTAGGATGCCTTGGATTTATCTGACTTCTTATTTCATTTTCTTATTTGCTTCAGTTCACAATGGTAAGTGAACATACAATTCCTAAAATATGCACATGGAATAGTAAATATTTTAGAATGGGGGATTAAAAAGGCTAATATACAAAACGGCCTAAATATTTATACTGAGAGTGAGTAGAACCACAGAGCAGAGCACTTTTGGTGGGAGGACACGTGTTAGTGTCTACAGCCCGGCCCTGGGAGAGCTGGCTGGCTCTTCTCCCCCTTTCTGTGAAATTACTGTGATTTAGGCAGTATCTGTAGAACAGCCACATACTATCAGCCTCGAAATACTGCTGCAATAAGCACGATAACTCAAGAAACAACTGTTTTAGTAGAAATGGTTTGCAGAATTTCTTTGAAACACCGGAAAAATCAGTATTTATCATACTGATCATATATTTCAGTGCCATTCCATGTTAATGATTTACTTTGGTTAGCAAACGTCAAACTACAAAATGCCATTGCCTTTCCCTGAAGTTCCCTGTGCTGATAAATTAGAGCTAAGACATAATGCACTTTTATGTTCAGTAATGTATTAACTATTTTCTCTGAGGACAATTAGGTAATGCAATTTTTTTTTTAGAAAAATCTGTTTGGCAAATGCAGTGTTACTTAAGAAATGTTTTACTTTGATTGAAAGCTCAAAAAAACATTTTTTTGACATTTCTAAGACTCAAGAAACATACACTTGTATAATATTAAAGCATTCAGAAGTGGCATAATTTTTCTTGCTATAAGAAGTAAAGCATATTAAATAGCATTGATGTGTATATATTAATTTACACTATAAGAAGATAAAAATATTCAAAATGTGTAATGCAGCAGACAATTGCAGCACTCTTTTTATTCCATAATTCATACAGAATATTGTAAATTATAAAAAATGCTTTCCTCTCAATGGCCAAGTTGGGAAAGGGAACTGAGAGTATATGCAAGTCTTTAGACAAGGCTTACGAAAGCATATGCACCAGAATATTCCCAGTATTTGTGAAGTACCACCTTTTGTCCAAATAAGAGATTACCTTTTTTAAAATACTAGCAAACCTGGCAAATATGTATAACAGTTTCTTGGTTTTTTTTTCCTTTCCCAGTATTTGTGAAGTACCACCTTTTATCCAAATAAGAGATTACCTTTTTAAAAATACTAGCAAACCTGGCAAACATGTAAAACAATTTCTTGGTTTTTTTTTTGTTGTTGTTTATACATTACACATTTTATGCACAGGAACCATCGAATTCCCTAAGTATAATTATTGTATGTAATTTTCTCCATTCTTGAGCTAAGAAAAATCAATTTTATAGACACAGGCTACAAACTGGCCTATTTGCTACCCCTTCAGGAGACAAAACACAGGACGTGCAGAGAGTGGGCTTTTCTGTGAAACAGCCCTTCTACACGTCTTCACATGGAGATCTTGCATATTCTCAATTTTCACAAGCTAGGAATGTGTTATCACTTAGATATTTTAATTTTGGTCAAAACAACAGTACAATGTGAGTGGTTTGCATGACAGAGCCCTCAGTGCAGGACAGGTGGGGAATTCCTGGAAATCTGAGCCTACAGGCCAGTTTCCCTTGGTTTTGCACCGCACGGCGACACCGTCCTCCTCACAGGCCGCATTTGCTGCGTTGTGCAGCGCGTTGGCCTGGGCTCAGCGCGGGTCGCAAGGAAGCAGCAGGCTAATAACATGCTGGGAGCAACTGAACTGAAACCACCACACGGGCACCTTCTATGAATTTGCCTCCAGGATTAGGACATTAGGCTTATCTGCTCATACAGGTTTCTAACTCCAGCCCTGGTACTTTCTTCTGGCTCCCGGTTTTCCTCTTAATGATTCTCCGTCCTCTGCTCCCTGGGAAGATGCCACTGGCACTCCTGAAACCTGCTGGAGCCGTCAAGCTGGCAGAGCAGCAGTGCCTTAGCGCGCTCCTTGGAGAGCTGTGGGTGCTACTATCCGCTAAAATGCATGTATTTTGTTATTCTATATCAGAATGTGTGACTCAGATCTATGAAAATACCTACTTCCAAGGAGGAGACCTCTCTACAGTGTTTACACCAAATGTCAATTACTGTCAAATAGTGTGTACCTACCATCCCACGTGTCTCTTCTTCACCTACTTGCCAGCAACATGGACTAATGATCCTACAAAAAGGTAACGTATTCACGTTTGTGCAGGTTTTGCTGGTTTTATGTGGTATTCTTGGGAACTTGGAATTGCTTCATCAGAACACAGTGGAAGGAAGGCTACATGGTTGCCATGGAAGATCTGCTCTCATGTATGTTAAAACTGATAAATTGCAGGATATATAATAATTTATAATTACTCTAAACTTCAGTTGTTTAATGCTGAAGGAACAAGAGATGGCCTGTGTTTCACCTGAGAATGAATAGAAAGGACTGTGTTATACTGCAAAAGCTGTGAATTGCTGCATTTTACAACACAGGTTTTCCTGCTACTTAAAAGACAGCGATACTGAAACACTGCCAAAAGTGGATATGGACGGTGCCATCTCTGGACATTCCTTAAAACAGTGTAACATCAAAATTAGCGGTAAGATACGGTTATTCACACATGAATTTTATGCTCCGTATCACATAGCAAGGATGTTTCTTGCCACATCTCCTTCAGAGCTTACAATTCTTCCACTTGCTTCATCCTTCAGCCCCAACTAGCCACCACTTGGGCTCTCCAAACAAGGTAACAAGGAAATTATGCTGCTTCAGTCACCGTGTCCCATTTGCTTCAGGCTTCCAGCTGTAGAAATTAATTTAACCCTACAGTCCCTCACCAGCAAACTTCTCATAAGATATGTATGATTGCCTGCTTATAACTTTACTTATAACATTTTTATGCCCTAAAAAGCAGGAGCAATGATAGTCCTTAGGAGACGTTGCTGCCACCAATGCAATAATTCATTAGCAGCTCCACCTTTGAGTATCTGCATGTTACATACACAGTCATAGTGTCAGCGTGCTGCTGTGGCTGGGATTTACCAGTGGGCACATTTCAAGTCCATTAACTGTGTTGTTTAAACCTTTACTACCATCACATTGTCATTAGATGGAGATCAGCTTTAAGTGTAACATGATGCTGTAGAAAAAAGTTATCCTGGAATAAGGAATATCCAGTTGCTGCTTTGGAGGACAAACATAGCCTGGTGGATGCCAGCATCATTCATCCATTGCAATCACGCCGAGCGTGCCGGGGTCACTGCACCGTGCTCTGCGGGAGCTCTACCCTGCAGCTTGGTGACCAGGGACCTGTGCTTGCTTCTGAGGGGCACTTGCCTTCCAGAGCTTCCCAGATGTTTACAAGGGCTCTCCTGCCAGCAGCATCTCATGTTTGTCCTTCTGAATAGCTTTGGCCCAGTAAAACAGGTTTCAGTGGGGTGTTCTTGTTTTTAATGCTGTTTTGTGCAATTGATATCACTGGAATTAGCGTGCCCTTTGTGCAGGTAAAGATGACATCAGAGGCTGTAGGTTTCTTCCTTTACCAGGAAATCATGGGCTTCCTGCCCATACTTCTGATTTTGCTAACTGAAGCATTTGAGAAGTATGATGTAACTCAAAGGAGCACGGGCAGTACACTGGTTTGCAGTGCTTGCACCATCTGAACACTTACCTTTTCAGCAGATGCTTTCCAAACACTTTCTCTCTTTTGTTTTTCCCAGCTTGCAGTCCAGATGTCCACAAAGGACTGGATATGGAAGGGGAAAATTACGATGTTGTTATGGCCGACACTTACCAACAGTGTCAGGAAAGATGCACCAATGACAACCACTGCCAGTTTTTCACATATGCTTCAGAAACCTTCCACAACGTGAGCCTTCGGTAAATACGTTTGAGTCCTGGCAGCGCTGTGGCTTTGCAGGGTAGATCTCAGAGCAGTCTAAGGTGAAAGACTTGACACAAGGAAGTAAGTTTTAGCTTGGCTTGTCATTCTTGAAGTGCCGATTCAAACCGTCAGGAAAATATCTATAGTAAATTATGTTTCATTCATCTGTTGTGAGAAAGACTGAGTTGATTATCATAGCACTGAAAAAATAATTAATGCTGGAGACATTAAAATGCACATGATATTTGGAGGTGAGCAGCTTTATTGGTCTATTAAATCTCACTCTGCTTATTGCTCTGAAAATAGCATCTTCATTGCAGTCAGAGAAATACTTTGAATTGTGGTTGCACTGGCTTTGAGCTGTTCCCCTGCTCAGTTTTGCAAGTTAAACACTGTTCAGCTAGACCTGTTCCTCACGTAAAGGTTCTTCTGGAGACTGCAGACTGTTCCCAGCCCCAGGCAGAGGATACAGCTCGATAGGAGTTAAGGTGCCAGGAGGATACTGTAGGCCTGTTGTCTTACTGCCTTCTTTATTCCTTGTCATTCAGTAAAAATTGCTTCTTGAAACATGCCACTTTAGGAACACCAACCAGCATAAGAGTGCTTGATGATGTTGTCTCTGGATTCTCTTTAAAGCCATGCCAGCTTTCTGAAACAGGTAACTATTAGAATATCTTGATTTATGAGTGGTAGATGACAAAGGACTCTGTGACACATATATGTTTTGTGATGTAAAAGAAAAATAATAATCTTATTGTTAATTCTCAGACTCAAGCACTAAAGAGGTTCTGATCTTTTTAATTTCTCCCTTTCATTATTCTGTGTTACAAAACCAGTCATTTGCTTTGAAGATCTAAAGTAGGTTTTCATAAGATTAGTTTGATTAAATTGCAATTTTGTCTTTGCATCAGAGATTTAAAAATGAAAGGTAAAATCTCATCCATTTCAAAGGTCAGGAGGAGTATAGGGCTTTCTAATTTTGTTTGTATACCATGTGTGTGCTTGGAAATTTCTAATGAATACTGGTGGCTTTCTAGTACAACTGGCTACGTGAAGGGCTGCGTTCTGTGCGACGCATCTGTGACTTGTGATGAAGCAGAGTCTGTGCTTGTTCCTGCAGCCATTACCCAGCCCAAACTCTCAGGATTTGTAGGATCCAACAGTTTATACTGTACCTTATTCTCGACTAAAACATCCTACTTCACTTTTTTTTTTTTACCTACCTCTTTCTTGTCTTATTGCCTGCTATTTTCTATTCTTAATGATGATATTTTTTCATCTGCCTCTATGTAGCTTTATTTGAATTTGCAGATAATCTTTCCTTCTAATTTTAAATCACACTTTATATTTTCTAGGTCCCTCCATCTTTCCTCCTCTATCAACATGTTTTCTGATTAGACTTTGACAGACTCTGATAGTCCTGCTACAGGATAAATCTCTGTAAACTCTGAAAAAAATTAGTTTAGCTCAGTTCCTAAAAACAGAGCACCAATAAAAAAAATGAAGTGTGAAGAATAAGAAAGAAAGGAAGAATTTTGTAGTGGGGTATAACGAGGAGAGATTCAGCTATTCCCTCACTATATATATGTAGAAGAAAGATCAGTGGAAAGATTTTTTTTTCCAAAGTGCTGCACTGTAAGATAGACTAGAAAGACACATGTTCATGGTTAGAAGAAAAATTACAGCACTTTGAGGGTCCTACTTGCAGAAAAATTCAGGAGGCTGAAGCACATGCCCAAATGGTATGATTTTAAATTGAAATAACAATCAAAAAAAATAGAAACTATCAAATAAATTTATGACTTACGACAGCGTTGATAGGACAGTAACTAGTTTTCTGGAAAAAGAGAGGGAGAAAAAAAGGCAAAATGCTTTTTACTCTTTCTTATGTCCTTTGTCGTTAGCTTTTCTTCCCTTCTGAGCACAAGAACAGCTCCTCTGCTAATCCTCACTGAATCCTCACTTGTTCCTGGATATTTTTCTCTTGGCAGCTCTAAATGTCATTTCCCTGCTTCTCTCCTTGATCCTCATCCCTGCTCAATACTCCTCTACATAAGCTGACACACTTAAAACAATGTTCATGAGAAACAGTTTTTTAGTTAAAACATTATATCTTTCCAGCTTATCAGTCACAAAAGAAGGAAACAGTGAACCACGATACAAATTAAATAATTTGTAAGTCTTTTTTTTCTTTTGATAACACTATAAATCTTTTGAATTTTGATATTATTTTCTTGTCTTATACAGATTGTCTGATGGACATTTTTGAACATAAAGAATTTTCAGGAATTAACATTACAACTTTTTTCACTCCTGATATCTCCGTCTGCCAAACTATTTGTACTTATTTTCCAAACTGCTTGTTCTTTACATTCTTTACCAGGGAATGGCAAATAGAATCCCAAAGGTGAATATAATCCTTAACTTTAATTTTCTAAGTAGATATTTGAAAAAGTACTAGAGTTTTTATATTTAACTAATTTTTATGATACTTATGGAAATTATTGAGAAATTGAGGTTAGAGGGTTACTTCCAGTAAAGCATTGTTTTTTACATGTGTTATTTATATTTTCATAATTTTCTGTGGGCATTTCATCTGTCATGCAGCGTAACCAGGCATTTGTAGCTTAGCTGCACATCTGGGCATTAATCTGAGAAGTTATAGGCATTAAAGAGAGAATAAGATAATATCTTAAAGACATATTTCAAGAAATCTGTTTTCCTGCATTATAAAGTTATTTATTTGAAAGGGTTTTGCATAAACAGGTGTGAAGTGTTTCCTTTTAAAGAACTTCCCTTTTTTTTTGTATTTAGTAGTGAGAAGAGTTAAAAACCTAAATTCCACAAAAAACTCATGTGAAAAGAAGAATAAAGTTTCAAAGAAATTTCAGGGAGCAGCAAAACTGAGATGGCATATATCATCTCAAGTCACCTTTTCGATGTATGTACACATACTATACAATCTAATAGTACAGCCATATGCCACTCCACAGAACTGCACGGGCCCTATTTTTCTGTGAATTTAGGTTTTGAGTTAGCATTTCTTTAATGCATTTTTATATGAAATATATTTTACATTACAGAGATGGGAGAAAAAGCGTACTTAATAAAGCACATTCTTTTATTGGTACCTAAAACATCAATTTTAGAATGTGAGAAGAGAATTAGTTATATTTGAAATCTTTCATTTTTAGAAATCTTTGCCTTCTGAAGACATCAAGAAGTGGTATACCAGATGCACTTATATCAAGAGAAAAAGCTGTATCAGGCTTTAGTCTCCTAAATTGTAGAAGATCCTTCCCTGGTAAAGAATACATTACAATACTAATTCAAAATACTAATTTTGAATTAATCGTGACACTTAGCCTTACTGATGTTTGGAATATTTATTCTTGCAGCCTGCAATTCTCGCACTTACACAAATATGAACTTTTTGGGAGAGGAACTCAATGTCACGTATGCTAAAGGACACAAAGCTTGTCAGCAAGTTTGCACAGACATGATCCGTTGCCAATTTTTTACCTACTTTCCACTCCAAGATTCATGCAATGAAGAAGGGTGAGATACATTTTTAAAAAATATTTAAAGATTGAATCATCTACAGACTTAGGAAGGGAATAGCGTATGTGTCACGCAAAACTGAATCTTTACATTAATTTATTGGCAGGAAATGTAAGTGCCACCTAAAAATGTCCTCAAGTGGATCCCCAGTGAAAATAGTACATGCAGGAGGAAGGATCTCTGGATACTCACTAAGATTATGCAAGAAAAAGGCCAGTACTGGTAAGTAAAATTTTCAGTTAAGAGAGGCAAGTCTTAAATTATTTCAGTACGGGAAGCCTGAACCTCCCCAGCACTCAGGGAGCATTGAAATGGTAATGGGACTTCTTGCAAAGTTAAGTCGTGTTCTGGACTAGTGAAGGTAGTTTGTGACAATCCTGCGCAGTGTATACTGTGTAAAGCATCATGAACTTGCTTTTAATAGACGTTACAATCAGAAATGTATCACCTTTTTTAACAGAAGACCAAAGCCAATTCATCTTTGTCTTTTGGCTAGCGAGTGAAAATCTTTGCCCTTTCTCAATTCTTTCCGCAGTGTGTATGCAGCACTCTGAAAAAAGCATCAGGATTGTTGGAGGGACCGACTCGGCTCCTGGCGAATGGCCCTGGCAGGTGAGCCTGCACGTGAAGGTGCCCCGCCAGAGACACATCTGCGGAGGCTCCATCATCAGCAACCAGTGGATCCTCACAGCTGCTCACTGTGTTGTGAGGTGGGTGCTCAGTGTCAAGGTACTCACCATTTCTTTTTCTTTCAGCGTGTGAGAAAAATTGAGATGCCTTTTTCAGAAAAACATAAGCATGCGTGATAAAAATTAGGACTAGAATGAAGTGAGTTGTTTTTATGCAGCCAAAAGGGGAAGTTTTAAGTCAGACTTTCTATTTTTGTTGTAATTGCTCAGTAAAATCTAATTTATTTGGTTGGCATGCAAGATAAAGCTGGGTGGTACACCAATTAGGCTGTTTCTGATCCCTGAGCTTTAAACTGACTTGTTTATCTCTTACATGAAATATCCAGACCCTAATCGTGTTGGCTTTCCTTTAATCTTTTTTTTTTTTTCTAATTTTACGATCAATCACTTAATACTCTATATTAATGTGTATTTCATCTAAAAGTGCAAAATTTAGAGCAGCCAGCACTTAAGGTATCGCTAATTTGCACCAATGCATGTAGTATGTGTTGTTGTTGATGCCAAATTACCATCAGATGTGGGTAATGAAGCCACTCCTGTTTTGAAAAGCTGATTTTACTGACATGCAAATCATCCATTTCCCTTGTTACATTGGCTGCATCTGTAAAGCACCTTATCCTGGCACTTACAAATTGAAAATGTTAAGGCTATGTATTGGAACAAGTAACAGGTAACGTGCTTCCAAGATGTGAACATTGACTCAGCAACCTGGGATCAAATTAGACACATTTATTCGAGTAATCTGATTTTAATGTGAAATAGTTTTGCCAACATTTGGCCTTTAGAGATAAAACCTATTAAAGCAGTTATACTCTCTAAACCCCCTATAACCATATATGAGGAATGTCATTATCTCTCTGACATCCCATGTTGGTAGAAGTTGTCAGAATATTAAAGGGCAAAGAGATGAAATATATTTTAAAAATAAGATGTAAATGTCGTTGCTTGAAAATTAAGACTAGTGCATTTATGTATTCAAATACAAAATTTTCAAAATTTCAAGTTTGAGAATGTGAAAACAAAAGTGGGGAGGGCGACCTTTGCCTGTGCACTCAGGAGCTGATCCCTGCATACAAACCCTAAACCAGGACAAATCCCGTGAAAACAAAAGTGGGGAGGGCGACCTCAGCGCTTTGCCTGTGCACTCAGGGACTGACCCCAGCATGCAAACCCTAAACCAGGGCAAATTCGTGTGCCACACACTGACCACTTGTCTCTTCCCTCAGTCTTGCGAATCCCGACATCTGGCGAGTTTATGCGGGAATTTTAAAACAATCGGAAATAAAAGCGGAAGTGCCTTTCTTCAAAGTGCAAGAGATTATTGTTCACCCTCAGTATAAATTCGCCCAGATGGGATATGACATTGCTTTAATGAAACTCGAAACACCTATGAATTTTACTGGTATGTAGAGTATTACAGAGGAATTCTGAAAATGTGCAGCATGTCCCAGGGATGGTTTTGTTATTGCACTTCATGAATCTTGGGCTGGATTCCTGCAATATGTAATTAATGGGCTTTGAGGACAATCTTACTCTGTCTTTGAAGCATGGGTAGCTTTCGGGGCAATACATAGTATAAGAGACAAGGCACAACAGTGAGCCTATCACCAGGGGTTGTGCAGGGTGCCTGTGAAACTTTAACAGTGTCAGTATTTCTACTGGCCAAACTCACATTTCCAATTGTATTTTAGATCTCCAACTACCCATTTGCCTGCCATCGAAAGAGGATGCTAACACACTTTACACCAACTGCTGGGTGACCGGATGGGGTTACAGGAAAGAGAGAGGTACATGTGAATCAAACAGCGAGTGCGTGTATTTGCCAAATTGGTGTTACAAGCAAGCAAGCAAATACCAAACAAACTTCTTGAGTCCTTGAAATCAGGAATTATGGTTACAGGCTACACAGACTGTGCATTTGTTCATGGCTTTACTTGTACGAACTCACATCAGTCATCAGGGCCAGTGGCTTCAGCATAGCTAGTCCTATAGACTGCTGCTCTATACTGGGCTGTCAGGCTGCCTGCTGCAGCTGGGTGAATGCTGAAGTTGCCCCGTTTCAGATTATTTAATATGCTCAGACACACCTCCTGTTAGGAAGTGATTTATTATATTGAGGTGCTAATCTGTGAAGATGCAGAGGATCTAACCCTGACATTACTGATATCCCTTTGTACAGTTGTGTGGGGTGGAATTTGGGATGATTCAATGAGCTAACACAGCTCATCTGCCCAGGCAGGGGAAAGAAAGGGAATGTCCTAACAAAGAAAGTTCAAGAATATAAGATATACTGAGATCTTTTGGGTTCAGTCCCTGATGCATGTAAGAGAAACAAAAAAATCTGAAGAAATCTTCACTTGGGGGTCAAATCAAATACAGAAAATATAGAAAAACAGAAAAACCCTGAAGGTTGTAAAATAGGGTTTGAGCTCATGATCTTAGTATGTGATTCGCTGGTCAGTTATTCCAATGGTTCCCATATTCAAGCTGGATAACTCCTTTAATGTCCTTCACTGGACATTTTTATGTTTTACACTGGTAAACATTTGATTAGAGTCAGGCCAAGGCTTTTTAAAGCAAATTCTACCATTCTTTGGGCTACTGCTATTGCAGTAGACACTATAGTTTTCCTCACTTGCAGTTACTTCTATTAAGACTTATTACAGAAAGCATATAGGAAAGATGTATAAAATTATCACTAAATGATTCAGCTATTTGACAAAAAAATCACAACAGGCTTGTTACAAAGATTCATAAATTCATTGATTCAAGAAATCAGACTCTGTAAGAATTCAATTTTCAATGTAACCAGTATGGTTCTCAAATACATTTCCTTAGATTCTATCCGATTATATTGGCAAAAATGATATATATAACTGGAATAGATTCTCCTTTTTGAGTTGCCAGCTGGAAAAGTCAACAGACTTAATTGCTGAGATATGTGATCGTGATTTGAAGTCTGCACATAACCAGTCTACTTGTTTATGTGATTTCACTGATTTCACTAATAGGAATTCACTTTAGAAATCAGATTGAAATGTGTTGCTTTTATGATTCTGAATGTTGTTTATAAGCACCTATAAATGACTTTTGTATTTTGATAGTAAATCTGATTTGAAAGTCTCTGATCTTTTACAGAGGTAGGTCAAGTCTTCTTTTATATTGTAATCTCTTTATACAGAGTCCTCCCCTTTACTCACCTTCCTATGCGAGGGTTGGAGTTCAGTGTGAAATCTGGTATATTTAGGTAGATATTGTATAGACTGTAGTTCTTAATTTCTCAGGAAATGCTGATTCTCATGCTGCTATTTCCTCTGTCTGTAACTTTCTCAACTCAGTGAATATGAGGGCATTGAGCAGCCCTGAGCTGGCAACTGGGAGGCTCCAATACTCCTGCCATCCCTGCTGAGACAGAATTGTTCAGGATACACAGCGATGCTCCTGCCTGGGAGCGTGTGTTCTGAGGGCCAATGAGCTGAAATCCAGATTCTTAAGAGGATTCAATCAGCAAAATCACAAGGGAGTTTTAAAGTTTGCCCAGTCATGAGATGTATACACTGATAAAATGGTGTTACTGAAATACTCACATTAACAGCCCACATTGTGTGCTAACACAAAAAGACAGTGTTGAAGTCCAATATCACCCTAAAAGCAGTAGCCTCCAACTTTATAACAGCACCATATGAGGATTTCTAAATTTTAATTTAAGTTTTTCTTTTGCTAGGACTGAACGTTTCTCTGTTCTTACCTGCATGTTGCTTAGGTCGCGTGGAGGATATTCTGCAGAAGGTGACTGTTCCCCTCATGTCCAAAGAGGAATGCCAGGCGAGGTACAGACATCGCAGAATAGATGACAGGGTGGTCTGTGCCGGCTACGAGGAAGGTGGAAGGGATGCTTGTAAGGTAAAGCAGTACAGAGTAACATATACAAATACACAATTGCAAACCATAACTAAACTGTTTATGGTAACAACAAAAACACAACTATAAATAGGACTACCATTTAACTTGTTACTTCTGTATGCCAAAACTACTGACATCTAAAGTATATATAGGACTTTCCTTATGCAACATAGAAGTCAGGGATAGATTATATGCAATGTCCAGGTAAGGAAATGCTTGAGTGTGTGTACAAACACACACATCTTCATGCTCACACTTTCACATGCGCCCTCTCCATTTGTCTCTTACTACAGCCAAAATCAAAAGTATTGAGGCAAAATTAATTTGATGAAAACTATATCACTTTTGCTTAAAAAAAAACCCACTACCAGCAAAGAAGCAGTACAAGCAAATTTGTTGCTCATCCGTTTAAGGAGGAAAACAGCATTCCTTTGGAGTATCAGAAATCCAAAAAGAGGAAATATAGTACCCCAAAGCATTTCCCCAGTAACACCAAATTTCCAATGTAATGTTTTTATTCCTTAACATGAAATACACGTTAAGGCTTATTTTAAAAATCCATTATTCACAATCCAGAAGGGAAAGTGTTTGGAATACTGTTAAAGTACATGGGGAATGGAACAAAGACAACTTGAACAGACCGGTCAATTCATTATTAAAATTCAAAATGTCAAAACATTGTGGCTTCAGATTCTCTGCTTTAATACTCATGTACTTCTATTAAGTTAGATATTTTGAACAAATTTATACAAGATGAAAATGTTGTCTGATTAGCAAAAAATAAATATTCTACTGAACGTAGTACTTATTTTAAGCATTTAACAGTTAACATTTCTATTCTACATTGTCAACCATTATTTTGATAGGTATTGAGTAATCAATAAAAATTTCCAGAGCTGGGAAGTAATTTCTTCTCTGATAGTCAAGCTTTCTTTAATACAGCATGCCAGAGCACGGAGGTGCTCTTATATAAAAATAACAAACTTGCTATCATCTCAGCTATCATTCATGACAGCCATGCTATCCTTGAAAACTCTATGTTCAGAAAGATCAATTAGAAATAGGAAAACAGATATAACAGATATACATAATAAACCATGTACAGAACTGAGGTTAGCACACTGAATACAGGATCGCAAGAAAAAAAAAAAGGTAAATATATATTTTTCCATTGATAATTTCCATAATGGTAAATGTTATATTTTTCTTGGTTCTGAATATGATCTTTTTCATTGGGTTTAACATCAAGATAGCTGTATATATATAAATAAATAAATATATATGTACATTCGTCTGTTGCTTTGAACATTAATGGAAAGTTGAAAGGTATTGCAATGCCTGGAAAATACTTAGAAGCCAATTCACAGAAAAAAAGTAAAATCTACTTCACCACTGTGTTAATCAGCTTTAGGCGTAAGTATTAGAAACTTAGACAGTTATGGTGGTGTAAACACCGAGTGATGCTACTTTTTATGAAGGTTTTTCCTTGAGAATAACCCTGACCGGTGCCAGCCCTTGGACACTCTTTTCTTCTCCTCCTGTGTCGCAGGGAGACTCGGGAGGGCCGCTGTCCTGCAAGCACGAGGAAGTCTGGTACCTGGTGGGCATCACCAGCTGGGGCGAGGGCTGCGCGCGCCCGGGGCAGCCCGGCGTCTACACCAGCATTGTGCAATATGCAGACTGGATTCTGGAAAAAACAGAAACATAAACGGAAGACTTGCACATGGAAAAGAAGAATGAACAAACTTCACATTTACTAAATAAAAAGCTGTAATAAAAAATAAATCAGGTTTGTGGGCACTGATATGGCAGGAAAAAAGATCGTCTGAACTATGGGACTTGATTCCCATAAGCCCACAAGGCTATTCCCAGAAATATGCCGGAATCAGCTACTTCTGCAAGATTTACTACCAAAATTAACTCCTCCTGACCTGCTCTACTGCAAACCCTAATTCTCACTTAAACAATATAAAAAGTAGGTCAACCAGAGAATATAGATGCAAAAGGCTTTTTTCTTTACCACGTAATGTTCGGTATAAAGTCCCAAAACATGGTTGCACGAGCGGAAGGACAGGCAACCAAATGCCAGAGAGCAGACACAACAAGTACCCACGCTCTGCTACGGACAGCGAGGGCTTTTCACTCTCCTTTAGAACAGCCCATATTGCCCTCAAGATGCATGCTTATGTTTTCTCATCTGTAAGGCCATTTTAACCAGTATTCTCAAAGTAATTCTATCATCATACCTCTCATCTATGCTACATGGGAATCTGAGCCACTGAATCTTAAATTAGGCTCATGATACTTTTGGGTGCTTGGAAATAAAGGAGTGGTGAGCAATTTCTGAATTTTATATTGTGAAATACAGATCAGCATATCTGAAGGTTTTAATATCCAATGTTATTTGAAAAGTAGTTTTGAAAGTATTGATCTCTGAAGTAGTCTGGCAGCTGGCATCTCTTATTTGTAGTATTTATCCACAAAACTTTATTCTTACGGCTCTCCAGGGGCTTTTCAGACTGTATGGATTCCTAACGCCTTGTTTGGCTGTGAAAAGTAACCCGCGTTAAGAATCACAGAATGCTTAAGATTGGAAGGGACCTCTAGAGATCATCTAGTCCAACCCCCTGCACACACAGGGTCACCTAGAGCACGTGGCACAGGACTGCGTCCAAGTGGGTTTGGAAGATCTCCAGAGAAGGAG